CTGCGGTGCTGAGGCTGGGAAAAGCCAAGGTGGGGTGGAGGCTCCTGCCCCCCTGGGGCCCAGCACTGGAGGGAGGGCAGGGCGAGGTGGCAAGGACGGGCCAGGTGCATGGGCTGCAGAGGGACGGCGGCACAGCCAGGCTCCCCCCACGCTCTCTTGGCGGTCCAGCCGTACTAACATGTCTCTGGCTGCTGGGGCTTTGCGAAAGCCAGGAGCAGGCAAAGCCAAGGTGGGGTGGAGGCTCCTGCCCCCCTGGGGCCCAGCACTGGAGGGAGGGCAGGGCGAGGTGGCAAGGACGGGCCAGGTGCATGGGCTGCAGAGGGACGGCGGCACAGCCAGGCTCCCCCCACGCTCTCTTGGCGGTCCAGCCGTACTAACATGTCTCTGGCTGCTGGGGCTTTGCGAAAGCCAGGAGCAGGCACCCAACAGGCAGCTGCGCGGGGGACGCTGCAGCCCGGCGCCCAGCCCATCACGGCCCAGCTCTGTGCCGGGGAGGTCCCGGTGCAGCCGGCTAACTAGGCCCGGGTGGTGTGGGAGAAAAATCAAATAACTCTAATTGTGGCTAAAGGGGGGACTGTGCAGGAAATCAAAACTCTCTAAACGAAAACTGCTGGAAGGGTTAAAAGTTTTCCAGGCCCCTCTCCCTGTAACAGAGAGAAATCAAATTAACTCTAACCAAGACCCTTCCAATGCCTCCTCGCTCAAGTTCATGGAGACTCCTAGTCTGTCACAATTTGTCATGTAAACTCGTATCTTTGGCACAGTTTGCCTTGTAGACTCCTCCACTCACGTTCTCATGTGGCTTTGTTCTGTAAAACTTACGTCTTGCACTCCTGGGGTGAACAGAAACCTCGCCGAGTGCTTCTGCTGGGCCTTTGATATGGTAAAGAAAACAATCCACACCTGAGCTGTCTGAGCATTCTGGATAAAGGACCCTGAACCTGTCCCTCAGGGCTGCTTCACTCTTGGTGTGCCAGCCTGCCTGCAGCAGAAAGTTTTTCCTTCTAGATTTCTCTCCTGCCTCACTGATTTGCCCTCCGGCCTCGGACCTTTCTGGGGGCTCTGTCCCCCAGGGGAGCGAGATTTCCCCCACAGTGGGGGCAGCCAGGGGTCCGGTGCATGAATGGCACAAGGGTGCCCCCTAGCGGGGGGAGCCAGGGTAGCACTGTGCTGGCAGGGGAGTGGTGTCTAGTGGCTAGAGCAATGAGTGTCCACACGCTGCTCAGCGAGGCACCAGGCCTTGGCCTGTGCAGCCCCAGGCAGTAGGGGACAGTTGGCAGCTTCCTCAGCAGCAGCTGGTGGGTGCTGGAGACCAGATGCCAGGCTAGATGGGCCCCTGGAGGCTCGCTGGTGTGATCATGGTGACTCTGT